ACATTGAGTTTAATAGATGTGTTTTGTCTGCTTTTTAAAATGTTTTACATAGCACAGATAAAAACTGGGGTTCCCCATTGTCTGTTTTTTCTCTTCTTTCTCAGAGTACACTTCTCATCCTCCTTGTAGTTGGGTGAGGTCATGGGACGAGTTTGACTACTAGGAGTGGGATTTTTCATCTCCAAGCTGAAGCACCTCAAAGCCTCTTCAGTTATTTCGCCTGTTGTTTCTGTAACTTAGTAAATTATGGTTGAGATCACAGAGGCACAAAAAGGAAGTAGAGTAGATCCCTGAGTCACTACTTGAAGTGGAGGTACCTAGAAAACTTCTGACTTCCAACCAACTTTGCCTGAGAAATCAACCTTTCTTGTGTTAAATCATTGACATCTACGACTGTTACAGCACCATTGCCTAATCTAGCCCAACTGACATGACACTTCATTGCCTGCCTCCTCTCCCATGTTTACTTTGCTGGATGATGATGATGATGATGATAATTATTATTTCTGAGACAGGGTCCTACTCTGTCACCCAGGCTGGAGTGCAGTACCACAACCATAGTTCAATACAGCCTTGAACTTCTTGACTCAAGTGATCCTCCTGCTTCAATCTCCTGAGTAGCTGGGATTACAGGCATGTGCCACCATGCTTCACTACTTGACTGAGTTTTAAAATCTAAATGTCAAAGAATTTCTTATGAGTAGAATATTTAAAACCACACACACACACACACACGCGCGCGTACGCGCGCGCACACACACATATTTACAAAATAAACTTAAATGAGCCTTATTAGATGAGTGGTTTGAAACTTTGATGATATCCCTTACAATAATTAGGAATTTCACAGTAGCAGCACCAAAAGATACTAATGTAAACCAGCTAGGATGGGTGGTGTATTTGTCTTTTAGAAGTTCTCCAAAAACCAAAACACTTTCATTTCTCTGAGTGATCCATGCCAGTTCTTACCATCTCAGTATTCAAAAGTCTTTCTTAAGTCCAAGTGAAATCCCTCTTTAGTTCATTTAAAATCCATTCTTTCTTATTTTACACCCATGAAACTGGAGGTTTAGAAATTGTTCATTACAGTCTTCCTCAACAAAACCCTTCATGTGAGAGCCCACCGCCTTTGCCGTCACTTGCCCTTCTCTTCTGTAACCTGGCCAACAGAGGCACTTGACCTTTCTCCATAATCCTCTAACAAGATTCTGCCTAACAGTGACTAGAATGGAAAGATTATTTGATTTTCCAGTATGTATGGAACTACCTCTTTGTCATTTGCTTGGCTGTCTTGTGTCCATGCTGACAAGTCATTTAATTTTGCGTTTTTGCTAATACTTTTCTCTGCTATTTGTGCTCTTCTTTCCGCCTGGATCACACTCCCTAGATACTAAGATTTGACCTTGGCAATTTTAGCAGTCTTTTCACTTATGGCCTCTGGATTTTGTGTCGTGCTTAGTAAGGACTTCCCCACCATAAAATTGTTTTTTAATTCCAAAAAAGTAAAATTGTTTTTGACCTTGGGCCTCACTAAATTGTACTTTTCCTGACTCCTGATCACCTCAGCCATAATTAGTCTTGTCCTTCTTGTCCTTCCTCCTATATACGGTATGCAATTATGGTCATTTGTATAACTATCCTATCATCCTACCAAAATAAAAAGTTCCGAAGGTCAGCAGTTGCATCTTTTCTCCTGACAAGTGTCCTCCATTTCAAAGATTCCTAATAAACACTTGATTAAGTGTTTCATATGTCTTGCTTTTTCTTCCCTGCCTTTACCCCCATGAAGTTTGCTGTCATGAGTGTTTGTTTCACTGTTTTTATTTTATTTTTTAATGTGAATTTTGTCCCTATCTACCAGGTCCCTGAGATTTTTGTGAAAGTAATTGTTGTCTTACCTTGCCTAATATCTAACAGCATAATTTCTAAAAATCCTGTTTAGAATAGTCTTCAAAATGAACATAATTATCACAAAGAATTAACGATCTACAGATTTTGTTATTTTAATAATCTGTACAAGTATGATGCATAGCTCACTTCCTCATCACTGAGCTATGCTCACAGAGCACATGCTGTCAGGAGGACTTAAGCAACATGATTTTATACCATCCCTTTCCCAACTTCAATTAGGCCTTCGAGGACTCTGCATGCCCCCATCATAACACATACCACATTTGACTCTAATGGCTTGCTTAATTGTCTTCCCCTCTCAATGCTAAGCTCTTGTAAGGTAGGACTCATGTCTGCCTTGGTCACCACACTGTCTCTAAGGCCTAACACAGTCACTGACAAACAGTAGGAGCTCATTTAATGAGTGAATGGATATATGAGTGAATGGATGTAGCATCTATTCATCCCAGAAATATAGTTATCATATCTTGGTATACAGTTATACAAATGAGGGTCCCCGTACCTTTTGGTCATTTTTACTGCTTTCTTTCCTAGTTTCATAGCATTTAAAAGCATTTGTATTATATCATGTGGAAAAGGGCATGTGGCTTATTTACATTAAATGGAACTTTGAGTTGTGCCTTAGGAATGGGAAATGTCCTTTCTCCCCATCTTTTGAACTTGGGTCAGTTAACTAATTAGTACCAAAGTTAACAGTGGAAGCATTATTACTTCTGCTACCAATGGCTAATGCCACTGAATGTTTGCTGTGTGTTAAGCTCAGTGCTAAATATTTCACATCAATTCTTCATTGGATTCCCCCAACAGCCCTAAGAGGGTAGGCACTATTATTATCTCCTCTGTTGCAGATAAGAACCTCAGGCCTCAAGTCATGGAGCTACCAAGTGATAGAGCCAGAGTCTGACCCCAGGCAATCCATTCTAGATGCCATGCTATGTTGTTAACTCTTAGGAAGTTGATCGTTGTATGTCAAATGTGTTCCAGATAAAGATTAATCTCTTTCACTTTCTATGTTCCAGCTTACTTCTTCACTGCTTCATTGTCAATTACTTGTGAATTTATTCTTATAATTCTTATATGACCATGCTGATCATAAGTAGATCAGAGAATAGTGTACACATCTTCAGATGAAGACACTGAGGCATAGAAAGTTGAAATGACTTGCTCGTGGCCACATTGGGGCAAGTTGTCACTGCTTCCACTTGGCCATTGGCAGATCCAAACTTTTAGATTTGTTAATTGACTTTTTGAAGGATATTGAGGTCTAGGGGATCATCTTCTTCCCCACACGCTGAGTCCTGTATGATGGAGATTGAAGAATGAGTGTTATTCATTTGCTTGTATTCCATTTCTCAGTGAGAAGTTATTCCAGGTCTCATAATTTTCACCATGAAAAGTCTTCTGGGAACCAGAGAAAAAGCATTCTGAAAGAAGTTATTAAGCATTATTAATACAATTATGTATAACAAAAGACATAATTTAACTTCCCCACATCCAACAAAGAAATTCATTTGAAGCTTCAGGAACTCCAGCTGGAAGGGCAGTGCTCATCATCAGAGTGGGTTCTCTAGGCGGGGGAGTATGGGCAAGGAGCCATGTGGGCTGCTTTGTCCTTGGGGACACTTATATGCATGATAGAATATGCCTCTTTCCCAGTCTCCTCAGCCCCTCCTGCACTCTTCACTTTCACCACAGTGCTTCCTTATCACGGGCACAGAGTTCAGAATATTGGCTTGTGCTTCCCTCTCACCTGGCCCAGGATATTACACAGGCGGCTTTGAAAGAACATTTGATTTTAAACAATTAAAGATGAATGGAGAAAACCTCAGAGGATAGAAATAACGTCCATCCCAGTAGACACACACCTTGGTGAATTTTTCTGACTTCATTCAAAATATCAGAAATAACTATTTCTTACTGTGTCATTGTGTTAATCACCACCACAGTTCCATCCAATATTTTTACTTTCTTTTATTGCACTAGAATATAAGCTCCACAAAAGCCGAGACTGTCTTTATACTCAGTCTCTAGAATGGGGCATGGCATAGAGTCTGCTCAGTTACTGAGTGAGTGAATGGTACAGACCAAATATCCTTGAAGATCCCACAACTTAAGTGACTTGCCTGAGGTCACATTGCTAGCAGGAAGCAAAGGCAGAACTTGAACCCAGGACTGTCTAACTCTGTAGTGTTTTTTCTTCCAGATTTCTGGGATAGGTCTCTTTGTGGTGTTGAAAAATGGAGATTGGAGATCCAAAGATATTCAACAAAAGCTCTAGTTTGAAGTCCAGGCAATGTAGATTCTTTCTGAAATCCCTGTGTGACCTTAGAAAAGTCTTTTTTCCACCCAAGCCTCTGTTTTCTAATCTGTAAAAATGAGGAGATGGAATCATTGCTCTCTAAGGGTGTAGAGGTCTTCTTGCCCCTAGGGAAGTTTATGCTTGGCCATCTTCCATGTGTACTTGGAGTTAGTGTAAGGCCTTGGGGGGAGGTGACTAATACACCACCCAAGCATGTGAGGAGAAGAGTCAGTTGTGTTTTATTTCAAAGTGCACAAAAACTCAAAGGTGACATAGTCCTAGGCCAACAAACAGGTGGCACCCTGAAATGAAAGTTGAAGAAAGAAGAGAAAGAAAAAGAAAGCAGAGGCATTTGAAGGCTTGACAACAGCTTTTGATTAAAAAAAGAGAGAGCTCTGATTCCACTCCTGGGTTGGCGCAGCATATAATCTGAAACAGGCGCTCAGGTTGATAATTGTGCCCAGATCTGATCCCTGGCACATAAGAGCATGGCTTTTAAAAAGAAAAAATAGGCGTGTGTCTTTAAAGCCTCTCTGCTTATATGTGATTTTTTTCGTGCTCATTTGGAGATTGCATAGCTGGGCCCTTGCATCCAGCAAAGGCTTTCTTCCCCTCTCCCTGGCTTGGGGATTATTGATTTGGAAGGCGAGGCTAATTTACATGTAAATAAATCTCAGCCCTGGGCAGCGGGATGGGACGTCCAGATGCCGTGACTGACTTGCTGACATCACGGCTTCATTAGCATGCGGAGGATGCAAGCACTGCAACAGCGACTTCTCAGGCACCACCAGCAGCGCCACCGACAGTTATTATTATTTTTTAACCGAGCAGCACATTTCCTGGTTCAGTGGCTTGGGCTCTGTGAGCTGCTGACTGGTTGCCTGGGTCTGGCTCGGGATCAGTTGGTGACGCCGAGACTGGGGTCTGTGACTTCCTTCAGATTGTCGTGAAGAAGGGGAGTTGAGAGGAAACTAGGGTTCTCAGGAAAGCAATCGCAGCACTCAGGCAGATCCAGAGGAAGAGTAGAAGTCACACTTTTCCCCCTGCTTGGTGAATTTCCCAGCAGGGTCTGGAGCCAGCAGTGCTGCTTTCCCTAAGGGAATGTAGAACAGCTCAGCTTGAGCCTGCTGCCAGCTTCAGGAAGGGTTCAGATTTGGGAAAGGGGTTTGAGAAGAAGATGCTTTGGCTGCCTGAGGTCCTGCTTGTGTTCTTAGAAGTCAGACCCAGGGAGAAAGTGAACTGGGGCAACTGACAAGCTCCGAGGGTCTGGCAGAAGCTTCCTCTGAGACGGGGCATTTCATCCTCCCTGGAGGTAGGTAAGAAATTTGTTATAATTCACAAATGAAACAGCATTGTATTTTCTAGGGAGGATAAGAAAACCAGATCTAGGGCCTTTGCACTGGGGGAGGTGTGGGGGCTCTATTTTCTTGGCCAGGTGGCAGTTTTGGTGGTTCTCTGGTCCCTTTTGCCTTTTCTGTGCTTACTGGAAAGATCAGATGGTAAGTGATATATCACAGGCATAGGGAGGCCTTAAGAAACACTTAAATCTTTCTTGGTGCTTAAGAGGCACCGTTTCTCTAGAAGTGCAGGATTTCTTACAAAATAATAATATGGAGGAGAGGCTTTTAAAAAGCCAAGCACCTGGTAGTGTTCACATACAGTAGTCATTTCAGCACATGATGTCAGATACCATTAGGGCATCTGAGGAACCAGGACTTAGCGAGACTTCCAGGTAAAGCAGCGACTCTCAGATTATTTAGGTTTAATTTTAGCCAGTGCTTTCAGATTAGAAATGGTGACAGAGCTTCAGAGTGTGACTGCATAGCCTGGTTGAAACACATAATTTGGTTTGCTTTCTATATTGGGTTTCTTGAAGGAGTGCATAGTTAGTTTTCCTCACTCTTGGTTTCCCGAAAACCAATCACAACATTCCTAATCTGCCATGGAGGTCTTGTGATGAAATACAGATTTTTTAATCCCATTATCTTTTGTTATGTGGTCTTGGGCTATGCTGGGGTCCAACAGGATGATTATGAACCATAAATAATCCAGTCTGGGCCAAATCTTACAGGGGTAAGTGATCCATAGCAGATGCAATGCCATCCACTGGTCCAAATGTGGCTCTTGTATAACTTAGGCACATAGATGATTTCCCCAGTGAGAGAGTTTGGCTTCCAATATCAATGCATGTATGAGCACAGTCAGGGGAGGGCTCCAGTGTGCCGTGAATATATAGATATAGGCTGCTGTGTACTGAATCTGCAGCTGGAAGCCTGCGATTTGCTTTGCCTGCACATCTCTTCCCAGAGAGTGTTTTAAACCATCTCAGTGAGACTTAAACTAAATGAAGCAGCCTTGCCTCCTTGCTAGAGGCCCAATTGGCTGCCCTAATCCTGCTCCCCAGAAGGCTTACTGCCTGCTGATGGCTTTCACAGATGGGTCAGGATGAGTGTCCCCAAGGGCTTCAGAGTAAGTCACAACTTTGACATAATTACCATATTTTGGAAATTTAGATTTTAATGCCTCCTTGAATGCTTGTAAAGGTTTTGCCTTTCCATCAAATGCTATTTCCCCTCGGGGATTCTTTTTTTAATGTGAAAATTAAAACATACAGGCTCTTTTGGCCGTCGGGCATTGCAGTCTGTAAAGAGTCATGGAGCAGCCAGAAATAGTAAAATAGCGTTGCCTGAAAGGGTATGTTTATAAAGATTTACCCATGCAACGTGGGAGGGAAAAATAGAAATATAGGAAGGAAGATGCATTTATGGAAGCTTAAGGAATGAGAAGGGAACTTAGGGGTTAGACTGTATGAGATGTTTATCCAGGGCTCAGACTGTGGATTCAGAAAGAGTTAAAGATACTTAGAGCTACCTCTCTGAGCATCGATTCCTGTCGGTAAAAATGGGGCAAGCAGTAGAACCTATAGGCATGGTTATAGGTATAAGGATTGAATGAGATGTCATATGAAAAATACCTAGCACAGTACTGGTCACATAGTAAATACTCAGTAAATGTTAGCTATTATTATTGTAGTGTTTGTTATTGTTATCTTTTTTGTCATTACCATTATAAGCGTTGTTGCTAAACACAGTCTATTGAAAAAGCAATAGGTTCACATCCATTTGTCTGCAAAGAGGTTTTGCTAGCAGGAAAGATGCTGTCTCTGGTACTGTTATATGCAAATGGTTCCCACACAGAGAAACTTTCCACCCTCTTGACTGAGTTGACAGAATAAACTGTATGATCCAAAACGACTATATTTTGCCAAAGCAAAAATGACTGGCTGGTATGACAAAAATCATTTTGTACTAGCTGGGACTCAGGTATCCTTAAAGAAGGTATCCTGTTTTGGCAGCTGACGAGTCATATGTAGAAAGCTGCAGGATCCCAGTTGAAATCAATGCATTTCTAGATTTCTCTTCTGCGCCAGCTATACACGTGAAAGGCAGTCCTTGTCTTTCTTCATTCTTTTCAGCAAAGACATTTGGCATTTTCTTCATCCGGGGAGGCCATTGAGTATATACTTCACCTGCTGGCTGGCTTCTCAGAAGTTCCAAGGTGAACTCTTGCCACCATCTGGGTGGCTTCAGCTTGTGGGTTGGCCGTTAAGGGAAAGGAATTGGCCTCCCCTGCCTGCCTACCTGTGACCCAGTCCTTTCTGCCTTTGTTTTGTGCCCACTGCCATGATACATCTTTGCCAGACTTGTGATCTTCTCCATCATGCCAGTGAGCATGCTTCAGTCACACAGTTGGACGACTGTTTCTTCCTGTTCTCCCACCACCATAGGAGATGGAATGCTGATGCAGGGATATGATGGACAAATTAAAAGTGAATTAAGAAGTCAGAGGAATCTGGCATAAAGTTCTTTCTCAAGAAATTCAAAATTTGAAGCTGATAATTCCTGGCCACCGCTGATCTTTAGTAGAGTTGTGTTTTGTATTGTGGAGAATAATATTTATATCTTGATAATAGCCTACCTCCATTGCCTCCTGATTGTGTAATGTAATCTTAGGAGAGTTGCCATGCCTCTCTGAACTTTGGTTTCCTCATATGAATATTGGAAATAAATTCCTCTGAATGCATGGAATTACTTTGATGATAATGATAACAGCTGTAGTGCCCTTACCTAATTCCTGGTACTTACCGGGTGTTGATCTTTATTTCCTTCCATGCCAATGACTTTCATATTTCTCATTTAATTCTAACTTGTGAACAACAGGGGGCAGTAGTTTTAATACTCATTTAACAGAGAAACCAAAGGCCAAATAGGCAAAACTAGTTACCCTTAGTGACACAGCCGGAGACAAACCTTGGTACCCAGTATGGTGCTTCTACTGCACGTCAATTCCAAATACTCTGAGTTTGAAAAGGATTCTTAACCACTCTGTTGCTCTGCCAACCTTGATTAGCAGAAACCTCTTTATTTGATAGTCCCCAGGCTGTGGTCTTCTCTCTTCTCTATTGTCTGCAAACACACACAGCCAAAAGGCTTTTTCCCTCAGATAGGAATTTTGGGTGGCATTTAGGTGAGAATTTGTTTTTGCACTTGAAGACCCACTGAAGGCTTTCACTCCCTCCACGATTATGGTGGTTATAATCAGGTAACTGCTAGTGACCATGAGCTATTTGCGAACTAAGAAGCTTGGGGATGAAGCACTGGCAAAATCTGCCTTCTTCGTTGATGTTTTTGATACTTGCCACTTTGTTCTGTCATAACATGTAAACATTTTAAATGAAACATTCTGGTTTTTATAATGAATGTGTGTGTGTGTGTGTGTGTGTGTGTGTGTGTGTGTGTGTGTGTGTGTGTTTGAATCAAGCAGGAGAGAAAATCTCCATTGGGGACTTAGCCAGTTGAGTTTGGAGACTTGGTTTTCTTTTTGTTTAGCCTATTGTTTGAGCAATTCATTATTCAGAGACTGAAAACCTTAGGCTTATTCGTTTTTGTTATTTCCCCAGGGATGAGGCAGAGGGAGAAAATAAAGCAAGGCTGGAGAAGGGGGAGAGAGGGAGAGTTTGGATGGAGGAGTTAAGAGAAGGGGAGGGAAAGGAAGACAGGATGGGGGAGCAGCTGGGAGAATATCAGAGCAATCTCCAATCCGCCATGAAAGTGCTAAACTGAAGGTTCCCTTTGGGTGAAGTCGCAACTCAGAAGGCAAGAGCCTCTGTTCTCCTTCAGCTAAAAACTCTCTCTCCATCTGTCCTAAAAACTCATAGTGAAGCCATTTTAAACCCTAAAACCCTCATTGTGACTAAGCACTGCACATGTTTTCCACTAGAGCACCATGGACCCTTTTCTAAAAGTACATTAATTACAGGGAGCAGATTTTCAAGTACAATGTGAGCCTGCCTTGCCTGGGTGGGTGTAGAGAGTAAACTTCCAGCACATGTTTGGCTATGAAGTCTGTAAAGATCAAGTCGGCTGCACTGAAGACTCAGATACAAGAGCTGACTTGGAAGATGAAACATAACATTCCATGGGACACAGAATCCAGAGACATCACTGGTTGGAAGTGGGGCCAAGAGGGAAATCAGGGATGGCCTCATCAGAGTGAACCTGTAGGAGGAAGGAATAATGGTGATTTCTGATATCCCCCTCCTTCCTGGTGCTAGCTTTTGAGCTGCTAATGTAAACCATCCTGGGGTACTGAAGGGAGCACAGGAGACTTTTATCTCTTGGGATGTGGAGCAGAGCTGACTTCTGATTGGTACCTTTTACAACCCAGCACCTTGCCTGTCTCAGATGATGGAAGGCTGACTTGAGTTGCCTCCGTCCTTCTTGCATTGGGAGTTCCATTGGCCTCGAGTCCTCCTCCCCTCCTGGGCTCCTTAAAATCAAACCTTATAAATATTACCCATTCCAATCCAGGGTTAAGAGTAACCAGGACAGGAATTCTTAGCATTTCATTTCAACTGGGCAAGATGCCATTTTTCCAGTTCTTTTCTTGGCATCCGTCAGTTATGAGTCCTTAGAGATGCCTGTTCATGAAAGTTCCAGGACTCAACTGAGAAATAGCCATACTTTCTATGGTCACACAATCAGGTATGATTTCAGGGTAGCTATTAGTGTAGATGACAGTGTATGTTTTGGATATCTGTCTCTATAAAGTCTGAGTGCTAATGTTTGTGTGGATATATAGAAAAAATAATGACAGCCGGGCTCAGTGGCTCAGCCTATAATCCCAGTGCTTTGGGAGGCTGAGCTGAGTGGGTTACCTGAGCCCGCGGGTTCAAGATCCGCCTGGGCAACTTGGCGAGACTTCATCTACAATAAATAAAAAAAAATTAGCCGAGTGTGGTAGCACACACCT